GCTCTGTGTCACAGAGTGGCCAAAACCCAAGTGCCATCAGGAGTCCCACCAGCGGGGCCAGGGTTGGGAAATAGCTGCGGTGGCCTGCTGAACTGCAGGTTGTGGAAGGTCGGTAGTTCAGCAGTTCAAGACCCGAGTGTGCCGCATGATGGAGTGAGCTCCCGTCTCTAGTTCCAGCTCCTGCCAACCTAGCCGTTCGAAAGCAAGAAATTGCAAGTAGATAAATAGGGACCACTTCGGTGGGAAGGTAACAGCGTTCCGTGCGCCTTGGTGTTTAGTCATGCCGGCCACATGACCACGGAAACGTCTTTGGACAGCGCTGGCTCTTCAGCTTTGAAACGGAGATGAGCACCGCAACCCTAGAGTCGGACTCGACTGGCTTTCGAGCAAGGGAACCTTTACCTTTTACCTTGGGGGTGGAGCCTGTGGAAGGCTAGGTTTGAAGGCTAGGGACTTCAATGGGGTACAATGCCATAGAGTTAACCTTCTAAAGTGGCCATTTTCTCCAGGGGAACTGATCTCCGTTGTAATCTCAGATGTCCAAGCACCACCTGGAGGTTGCCAATGGCAACCCTATGCAGGACTGGGTTTTTTTAAAAATAGGGCTGGTTAACAGTGTAATTTTACTGGTACCTGTCTCTCAGTGTGCTGACTGTGCCTTCGGTTTAAAACTTTTATTAGCCACCTTTGTTCCTTACAGAGCCCAAGGCGGTTGACAAGATAAACAAAATACATAAAAATACCTAAAAACAAATGTTAAAAATCACAATTGAGGGCTGCTTTATTAAATGCAGTCCTAAATAAATAAGAGCATTCTGGTTGCAGATGCCTTGATGTTACTGTTTTTAGGGTTTTAACTTCTTTTTTTTAAAACAACTCCCTTGGGAACCAAAACACTAGGAGAAAGCAGATTTATAAACATTTTAAATAAATAAAATATGGACAAACGCTTAAAAAAAACCCTCAAAGGCAAGAAAACAAAGATGAGGAGACAATAGAAAACTCAAAGAAGAGTTGTTGCTCAGGGGTATATTATTTGCTTGCCGCACAGAAGACCCAGGTTCAATCCCCATCACCTCCAGTTAAAAGGCACAAATTGTAGATGATGTGAAAGACGCCAGCTGTAGAAAGCTGCTGCCAGTCTTGAGTAGACAAGACTGATCTTTGATACAGCAAGGATCTGATTCAGTATTAGATGTCAGTCTCATGTTTTCAAAGTATATAAAAATAGCATTTCCCAGTCACAGGCTGCAATTTTGCACCCAAACCAATCCCTGAGGAGGCTGCCTTATTTCCCCACTTTTGGAATTCAACACCAATTGTACCATTCGCTTTGCCTTCCCCATCACACCTCGCATCGATCGTTCTTGAATTCTATCTTGAGATCTTCCGTTGCTTCATAAGGCTTTCTCATACCTTCTGAAGAAGAGGAGACTGGATTTATACCCCGACCTTCACTACTCAAAGGTGTCTCAGAGCGGCTTACAAACTCCTTTCCCTTCCCCACCCCACAACAGACACCATGTGAGGCGGGTGGGGCTGAGAGAGCTCTGATAGAAACTGCTCTTTTTCAAGGACAGCTCTTATCAGAACTACGGCTTGCCCAAGGTCATCCAGCAGTTGCAAGTGGAGGAGTGGGGAATCAAACCCAGTTCTCCCAGATCAGAGTCTGCACACTTAACCACTACACCAAACTGGCTCTCACCAAAATGTCTGCAAGTCATTATTCTCTACCCTTCAGGGCTGTCACGCAACCCAAAGATGTCATGCAAGGTTGGATTTGATCTGCATACATTTGCGAATTTTAAAGAAAGTATTTCAGTCTGCTACCCTGTTCTGCTAAGTGAACACCAGTTCTTCCTCCAGAGTGACGGAATCCAACCCATCAGCTTTCAGCGTGCGTTGAAAGATGCGTGAGAGAAAGCGGAATGTCTCTTGTAAGACGGCACCTGTCAGCCACCATTTTGTAAACACTCATATTTTTTTAAAAAAACCACAAACTTCAAACTAATTTCAAACAATCTGATGCTAATCAGGGACTCCAAATCAACTAAAGGTTTTTGATTCATTTAATGAATTACTCAAACAAGGCCTCAAATGTTTCTAGCCCTCAGAGGTCCCAAGTTCAACCCCTGCCATCTCCAATTAAATGGATCAAGTAGCAGGTGATGTGAAAGGCCTCCAGCTGAGACCCCAGACAGCTGCTGCCAGTCTTAAATGAGCAATATTGATCTTGATGACACAAGAGTCTGATTCAGCGTAAGGCAACTGCTCGTGTTCCCAAAGAGCCGGCTCTGATATAGAGTAGGGAATGTTTTTTAATTTCTCCCTAGGGTTGGGAATTCCACGTGGCCTGCTGTCATTCCCAAAGGTCAACTGACGACCCAAGAAACCTCCATTGCCGTGCTTTTTCATTTCCACATTTCGCACAGTGCCTCATTAATGTACTTTTTGTCCCACATTCCAGTTCCTTGGCATCACCCAACTTCTAATATTACTAAAACACACGTGTGCATTGATAACCTCAAAACACAGCAAGCTTGATGCAAAAAAAAAAAAAAAAGAACCCTCTGGCAGCGGAGAAGTAAGAGCTTCAATCTAGACTCTGTGCAAGTCGTATCTCTTCTAGAGTATGATCTCCCATTCTGGGCACAGCATTTAAAGACAGATGCTGGCAAACTGGGATGAAAGGAGGGCAAGGAAGATGTGCAAGGAGGCAGGAAGACAAGGAAAGA